GTCCACTGCCCGAAGGTTTGCGTCCAGGCTGAAACGTACACTGGGTGGTAGCTCTTTGCAGGGCATGGGTGGTAGCTCCCAGCACAGCTGGCATCAACCTTTGTCGCTCTCTAGATACAGAGCATCACAGATGAGTCTCGTGGCTCAATCCGGAGAAAGAATCCAGCCAACACTCGACTCCGCCTCAATGTCCCAGAGGAGACAGCTGGCGACAGTGAGGAAAAGCCAGAAGAGGAGGTGTGTGGCTGGGGTGGTTTGGCTCCGGCCGGGGGCGGGGCGGGGGGGAGAACATTAGGCCTCCAAAGGAGTCACATGTCGTCCCTTTGTTCACCCCTCAGGTGCAGCTGATCCACGACCAGAGTGCTCCCAGCTGTCCTAGCAGCTCACCATCCCCGGGGGAGGGGCCTGAGGGGGAGGGAGACGCAGATCCTGAGAAGGTGCATCTCACCTGGACCAAGGACAAGTCTGTGGCAGAGAAGAATAAGGGCCCCAGTCCTGTTTCCTCTGAGGGCATCAAGGACTTCTTCAGCATGAAGCCGTATGGGTCTGGGGACTAAGGGCTGGGGTCTGGGGGGAACCTACAGGGTCTGGGGAGGACCTTCAGGGTCTTTGCTCCTCATGGCAGAGCAAACGAGCAGCATGGGTCCTGGCAGTTGGCAGACCCAGCCCACACCATGCCTTGGTCTCCCCACCTGAAGACCTTGGGCCTGATTGCTAAGGGTCAGAACTCCCAGGTGCAGGCACTGGAGGGTTGCATGCTGGGAGGCTGGGAAAGCAGGACCGGTGTGCAGTCGGGGTGGATGATGGTGGCTCAAGTCGCTAGCCTCTCCTGCATTTTCTGACCACTCTCTTTTCTTCCTCTTTGCTTCTGGTGTTTCCTGAAGGGAGTGGGAGAACTTGTAAGTGCTTTCGATTGTTCTCTTCTCTTCTCTGGGTTGGCCAGAGTCCCTACGCTCTTCACTCTATCATGAACCCTCAATTCGTGTTCCTGACCTCTGGGGTCCCTGAGTAGCTCAGCTTGTCGAGGTCTGGGTTTGGTGGTCCCTGGCTTGCAAGAACGTCCCAGGGGCCCCGTGTGCCTTGATCCGACTCTCCTCCGTCCCGGGCTCACGCGCAGCGCTCCACACCTTCCTCCCCCAGGAACCAGTCCAACGTGCGGCGCATGCACACTGCCGTGCGGCTGAACGAGGTCATTGTGAAGAAATCCCGAGATGCCAAGCTCGTTTTGCTTAACATGCCTGGGCCTCCCCGCAACCGCAACGGTGACGAAAATTGTATCCTGGACTTAGAATTGGGGGGAAGAGGGAGGCGGACGGCAGGGAACCTGGGCCCTCCTAGCCCTGAGATGCAAGAGCCGAGCTGGTCCGGCCTCAGGATCAGCACCTCGGACAGGGACGCGGGCCCAGTTTTCCCGGGCAGCTCTGAGCGACCCAATTCTATCCAGAGGGAAGGGAGCTGGTCTTTCTCCTTGACCGGCGCTCAGACATGGAGTTCCTCGAGGTCCTCACTGAGCACCTGGACCGGGTGATGCTGGTACGCGGCGGCGGCCGCGAAGTCATCACCATCTACTCCTGAGAGCCAGGACCTTCCACCCGGGCCGAGCGCGCCCGGCCCGCGGCCCCGGAGCCCTCGCCACAACCCCCGCCGCTGTCACCGTTTACATACAGACCCTGTGCCCGCGCCCCTGGCCCCTTTCCCCGCTGCCTGAAGTCCGGAGGCCACGTCCGTTGGGGTTGACTCGGAGGGGACCGCTCCCACGTGGAGACCAGAGACTCGTCGGCGCGCCGCTCTGTCGGCTGCACTGCCCTTTTTTAAGCCGAGCCTCGCCCCACTGGAGGAGACGCTGCAATAAAGGTTGGGAGCAGGCACGGAGAGGAGCTGGGGCTTTGAGGACCCCCAGGTAGCCTGCGTGGCCCCTTCTCCTCTTCCAACGCCCGGTCCCCGCCCGCCCCGCTCCACAGGCGGACCCCGGCTCCCGGCGGCCCGGTGAGCGCGGGGTGGGGCGGCGCCCTCGCCTTCTGCCCCGAGCCTCCGGGCGTGGGCCGGCGGAGCCTATACATAGTGTACAGGAGACATCGCGTGTATTTTTAACGTCCCCATATTTCCGTGACTAGAAGCGCAACGGACTTCTCTCGCCCCTGGCGAGCTCCCTCGGGGCGCCTGGGGCGGCGGAGGCCTCGGGAGGCTGGGTGCTCCTGGACGTCCGGGAGCTGGAGAGCGAAAGTGCTTTAGGCCCAGGCGGGAGTCCCGGTCCTGCGCCCTCGGCACCCCGCCCCGCTCTGGCCACTTCGCCCGGTTCGTGTGCCCTTGGCTTCCGATCCTTCCTTCTAGTTCTTTTCGGAGGGGGGGTGAGGCGAGCGTCCAGCTCTTCCTGGACTCGCCTCCCGGGGGACGCGAGCTTCCACTGCGGCTGCGGGGACCCGCGCAGCCTCTCCTCCGCTCTTATGCAAGCTGGGGCCGGACGGGACGGGGCGGGGCGCTCCCCCCCGGGCAGAGCGGGAGCGAGGCCTCGCCCCACCCAGGGAGCCCCGCCCGGTGCCTTCGCGGGGGGGGGGGGGGGGGGAAGCAGGCGCCTCTCTTCCGTGGGCTGCTCCCCCTATCCCATGGCTCCTCGCCAAAGACTGCAACCAGGGAGCTGGAGGGCGTCCCATCCCCGGCGTTTCCTGTCTGGGACGGTGAGGGCTGAGGGGGAGATTTCCGTGTAGGTGCCCTACCCACCGGGAAGGGCCCCCCGGCGCTGCCCCTGACGTTCCCTGCGCTCTTCCCATCAGGCAGCTCCAGCCTCGGGGACCCAGCCACGCTCTCTGCGTCCTAGGGCGGGACCTCGCTGCTTAGCAGCGGCCTCTAGCTGTGTCTCCCAGGCACCTGGGCCTGGGGGAGGGCTGGAGTAGCCACGTGCTTTGTTCTTAGCACCTCTCTGCCCTCCTCTAACTAGGAGCCAAGGCCTTTGGCTCCTCTAGCTCCAGTCCTTGGCGCTTCTGCTCCGCCAGTCCGGCCAGAGGCGCCCTCTAATCCCTGGAGAAGGCGCATTGGCCCGGGTTCCTTTCCCCCAGGGCACATTACTAAGGGGGACAGGCACTGCATGCTCCTTCCAGTGTCCTCTGGGACTGGGTACATAAGCACCTGCAGCCCCAGGGCCCTGCCCACTCCCAGAGCTGGGACTACTAGGTACTCCTGACCTCACCACCTCCTTTCCTTTGAGCCCAAGGCAGAGAACTGGAGCTGGTGCCATCTAGACTGGGTCAAGTGCGGCTGGGGTTAGGTCTGGATGTTTGCCAGTTAGGCCAAGACCCACCTGCGATTTAATGAGGGGGCTGGTCAGATTCTTCCAGGTGGTAATCAGAAAGCTGGAGATGTTAGCCACCAGCCCCCTTGACCCCTTCCTCCTAAAGACCTCTGAGAATCACAGCCCCGTCCAGCCTTCTGGGGGCCCAGACATTCAGGCCGAAGTTGTGGGCTGGGCAGAAAGGGGAGAGGCAGGACCAACACCAACTCGGGAACCAAAGTTGCACTACCTGGGCCCAGACTGGTGGGCAAGAGCAGTTTCCATTGATGAAAACAAACATCCCACAACAAGAACCCAAGTTTTCTGTGCTACACGTGCAATATTTGTTATGAATGTTATCACGTCATTCATCAAATTATCTTTATAATCATCGTAGCTAGATGTTTCATGTCCATCCAAGTGACTTCTATTCCGAGTGCAATATTTCAATAGCCTTGTAGTGATAACTAGTGTTGCTTTTGTTTTAGACGATCTACGTGCAGGGCAATGCAATGAAGTTGAAAACCCTTGTAAATAGAAGAGGTTGCAAACCAAATCAAGAGTATTTATTACTATTATTAGGCCTGCCTTTGATTTTCAGTGTGTTTCAGTATCCTGCATTCTGCCTCAGTATTGATCTTGTGTTTTTTGTGCCAATATAAGAAGAGAGTTGGTTCTTCCCTTTATTGTTGAATGCTCCCATTTAATGCTTTACAGCTTTTACTGTATTTTTTAGACTCCCGTCTGCACAAAATGCAATAAAAATAATTTTATTATACCCTTCATGGCCTGAGAGGTGCTGTCTGAACACACAAAGGGGGAAAACCAGTAGGAAGGTGGTAAGAGGGTTTCTCAATGCAGGTCACCAGGAGGGCCCTAGACTCCTATCAGAAACACTGACCTTTGCCCTGGCTGGTGTGGCTCAGTGCACTGAGTGCCGGCCTGTGAACTGCAAGGCTGCCGGTTTGATCCCTGGTCAGGGCACTCAGGGGACAGGCCAGGCCCCTTCCCCTTTCTAAAAAAAAAAAAAAAAAAGAAACCCCAATCCCAATCTTCACTGACAGAAGGATGGGCTGAACCTCCAGGACTGGCTACTTCATTTGGGCGCTGACAGTTTTGGACTTTGCCCCAGAGGAGGGGCAAAGGAACCGGCAGCAGGGGACTAGGAGAGAACAGTACACCAACATCTCCAATGAGACAGTGAGTGCTATTAGTCAGATTTTGGTCCCTCATCAAATGGCCTTGTACCCATCACTTTACCACACCCACCCCGTTCCTCACGGGCTGGCTACTGTGAACTGCTCCCCAAGGCCCCCATGGCTCCTGTAACCCCACCATTCTGCCAACCTCCTGCATGATGGGCAGGGTGGAGGGCAGCTGCTGAGATGAAGCCCAAACTGGGGAGTGCCTCACCCCTGCGGCCAGTGGCCAGCGGCCAGCGGCCAGGGAGGGCCTCCTCACGGTCCTGTCTTCCTGTCACAGATAAGAGGACAAGCCTGCTGGCACACCCACAGCCTACCACAGAGGGGGCTTAGCACAGCATTGTAATCAGCCAGCAGGCTCCTCCTGCTCTGGACTGGAACTAAAACGTCTGAGCAGGTGAGCCGAAGGGAGAGGAGCCAGGGCTGAGCACAGGGGGTGGATGAGGGGGCAGGCCCCACAGCAGACTGAAAATGTCCACACACAGGTCCTGCAGATACAGTCACATTCAAAGAAGATGACACAGCTTTTCCTTTTTCATTTTAATTAAAAAGTAATCATCTCATCTTATTAACAACACAGGAGTTCCAAAGAGGGAAAAAACACTATAGAACACAGGTCAGAACAGAAAGTGGTGCCACGTGGGGTCATTGAGTTTTTGGAACCGCTGTTCGCTCAGCCACAGATGGGGGGGGCTCAGCTGATGTCACTGCCCCCTGAGCCCCTGCCAGGGGTCCCTGGGAACAGCGATCCGAAAGGCTCTAAAATGAGCACCGTCCCTAGGGAGAAGGCAGCTCCCTTTAGAGCAGCAGCCGGAAGTCCTCCTCCCTCTAATTTCACTCTGGCTCAGCAGTTACAAACAGCCGCCTGTATCAAGAATATGTCCAGCTACCAAAAGTCTGACATCAAAATGGTCCCTACCTCCTGCTACTCAGAAAACAGAACAAGAGTCCAGGTGAAAAAGAAAGACTGATTTTTAAGTCAAAAGCTCAAAACAATCACTGAAAAAATGGTGTTCAGTGCCCGAGTCTAGAGTTGCCTTCTCAGAACTGACTCCATGTAACTACCCCAGAGAGGGAGAGGCTGACAGATGTGTTAAGGGGGGGTGAGTGGCTGGGGCCCAGATTCACAGTTCGCGTGAAATTGCTGGTGACTAGAACTGTTCAGTCCATTGGAGATCCTCCAATGAAATGAAAGCAAAACAGGAGAAAAATGAGAAAACCCAAAACCAACAACATTGGGTCAGGCAGAAAAATGTCTGCTTGTGTGGCTGCCACGGACACTTCCAGACTCCAGAGTGGCTAAACTATGAACCCTCAAACAGACCTCTCGGGGCGGGAGGTGGGGCACGACGACGCCACGCCCGCCAAGCCCAGTCTGCTGTGCAGCCCTGCGCGGGGGCTGCGGACAGGAGCGGGGGCTCTGGTTGGTCTATGTGAGGCTGGGGAATGAGCAAAGGCAGTAGCTAGTGACATGAAAATGTCATTCCAAACACTGGCGCTTGGCTTTTCCCCCTCCTACCCACCCCCCAGTTCAGCTGACGGACCAGAGAAACCCATGAAATATAAACTGAGCCCAGACACCTATACTGCCACCCAAGTGACCCCAGAAGTATTTATTTTCTACAAAAACCCAAAAACAACAAAAAAAGATACATCCCCAAATGCAGTATAAACTCTGACTCTGGAAGGAATAAGCAACACAGCCTTGGGCAGAAGAGAGAGCAGGTGGTAGAAACACGACACTTGATGTGACCTGGACAGGTGCAGAGAACATCTTCCAAATAACTCTACTCAGAACGCAAAAGGTGAGAGGCGGCCAGGGACGAGGGAGCTGGGAGTAGTTGAGAGACCGAGCCTCAGTAATGCCTCTGGTAAGATCCCATGGGTGCTGGGGGTCGCCCCACCTGTGCTGTGGTTTGGCTAACCAGGTGGGAGAGAGCAGGGCCACTCTGGATCAGGGTGTCCAGAGCCTTCTGTACACTTGGATTGTCAAAGTTGATACCTGTGGAAGACACGGGCCTCTGGCTAGCTATGTTGCTGGCAGGTGCCAGGCGACTGGAAGGCTGGCCAAAGAGCCCTTGGGAGGGGGCCCCAGGCCTGGGGCCCATGTTCCGAGCAGATCCTGCCTGTCCCAAAATGTTTGGAGGCTGATTGCCAGAGGCCTGTGATCTTTGCTGAGGCTGGCTGTTCGGTGCTGTGGAAAAATTCTGGTTCTGGGTATTTCCGGCAGCGACTGAGGGAGATGCGGAGCTGCTATTGGCCGCAACCGTGCCACTATTGAAGAGGCTGAGGATTTTGGCCTGAAGCTCTTGTTGGGAGATGGGGGGTGCGGCTGGAGTGGGTGTAGCAGAGGGGAGCACTTGGCCGCTCTGGAGCGGTTGGGAGCTTGGCTGTGTCTTCAGCGAGGCACCCGAGGTCGCCCCGAGTGGTTGGCGGGAAATCGGGCCTGGAAGACAGAAGGAGGTTTCTGGTTGAAAGTACCCTCTGTGGGTAAGAGGCTTAGCAGCTCAGGGAAGAACAACAATCACTGATCACATCAATCACACAAACAGTAACACCAGTTTCCCAAAGGGGCCACTTTATGGTATGGGCTGTCTCCGAAACAGCCTAGTTCCCCCAGAGAATTACTTAAAGGTAAAATGGACATCCACCTTGGTTACCAGGGAGCCAGCAATACTAGTTTACCCATCACCAGATTAACTACAGGGATCAGAATTCCATACCCAAACCTTAAGTTATCACTGTATCTGAATAAAGGCCCATGGGCGAACCCAAGAGATGGGCTCACTTCCCTTACCCACCGCAGAGAGCCCTGGGCCTCCCACCCTCCCAACGGAGACTGGGAATTAGAGAAATGCAGAGTCAGAACTTCACCTCGGCCCTGCCACGTAGCTCACCAGGCAGAGAGTCGGTGCTGCTCCTCATAAGCCGCTCCTTCCTCTCTCGCAGGTAGTTGATGATCTTGTCTGTCTCTTCGGCAGTGAGGTACCTGTTGTCTGCCAGCAGGTTGATGAGGCTTTGGATGGCTGGAGGGTGGCCCCCACGCACTCCTTCCTCGGGGCCCCCTCGCTCTCTTTCCTGCAGAATTGCTTCATTGGCCATCTTGGCTGCCTGTCTGGCAATCTCCTCACGTTCCTTTTCCCGGCACTCATTCTTGTAGCGCTCATAATTTCTGGCCACCAGCACCATGGCGTCTGCCTGGGGCATGTTGCGGTGCTCTGCGGGAGGGATTACATGAGTTAGTGCCTCCCACGAGAGACTTCAGTGCCTACCTGCTGAACTCTGCCAAGCTGTTCCTAACCTCAAACCAGCAAGAAAACCATTTCAGTAACAAAAAGCCTTGGGATGGGGAAAGGAAGGAGATGGGGCTGGAAGATACATGAATGGATTTCTCTGGTAGGGAATAAACATCTTTGTACAGAGATGGTTCTTTGTGGAATTCCTAGATCACAGACTTGTAGTAAAGACCAAAGAGACAAGACGGTCTCCCACAGATTCAAAAAGACCATGTGGGGAGTCACCACGGAAGGCAAGCCACAGGGGTCAAATCTGGTGAAGGCTGGCTCTCTCCACTGTGCTGCTCAGGACAGAGCTGGCCTGCTGTTTTTGAATCCGGAAGTTCAAAGATCATAGATTAAGACCAAATTGTGACCCTAAATAAATAGCCTCTCCTCACCCTTGGGCAACATGATTTACAGGGTGGTGAGAAGACTTCCCAGAACTTTATATAAATGAACTCACACATCTTGAGGACTATTCCTCGGAGGGACAAATGGGACGGGTGTACTGGTCGCGCAAGTAGAGACCTGGAGTGCGGTGGGAAGAGGGCAACGTCTGTGCTGTAAGAGCAACAGCCTGTCAGCTGGCTGAGTGTCAACACTCTCAGGTGTCAAATACTAAGAGCCACTTCCCTCTGGGTCAGGGTTCCCTCCCTGTTCTCAGTCCCTCTGTCTATCGCATTTACAAACAGTATCCCGAACGCCTGTGCTTGTTCTCTGTCCCCCGTTAGCAAGTCTCGAAAAGGCGAGGCTCCAACAGCACCGAGCGTGGCACACACCAGAAGTGTGCCAGGACTTCTCCCTGGTGAGAACCGACTGTGCGTCTCTTCCCTACTACCCCTGAAGTGACTTCATACTGGTGGCTTGAACTAGGACATGGCGACAGCATATGCATTACAGAAATCAGCAAATGCTATAAACCCCACCACACTCATCTCCTCACCCTGAGCTGGTTGTCAAACATTTGCTAGCATACCACTGCATATACCTAGGGGCTAAATATAACATCTTATATATGGCACCTACTAAAGGAGTATCAAATAAATGACTACTTAAATCTCCAGCACACTCATCAAAGGGCCCTGCTGTATTTGAGCAGAAATACATGCGTCATTTGCACAAAACCTGCTTCTTCTAAGTACGGCATGAAAAAATTCACGGACTAGTGACTACTTCGGAAATTCTGTCCCACTTGGGCCTCTGTACCTTGTGGGGTTCCGAACATGATGTTGACCGTACAGGAGCGGTGAATCTGGTGTTGCTGGGTGATGACAATAGCAAAAGGTGACCCTCCCCTGCTAACATCCTCCAAGGCTTGTGACAGTGAAACCTCCGTGTTGAGGAAGATCAAGTCCACCACCATACCCAGGTCTCGTACCTTCCGCCCCACAGATTCAGCATAATCCCTGCAGAAATAAACAGGACCAAGGTGAGCACTCCCGGGCCAACTCCCTACCTGCACACTGCGGCACCTCAGCCAGCTGTGTGTGCTCCTTGGAGAGCGTAGACCCTAGCCCGCCCAGTGTCTCCCTGTGCCCTCTCCAGGATCCAAGGATCTAGACCAGTGGTCCCCAACCTTTTTGACACCAAGGACCGGTTTCATAAAGTACAACTGTTCCCCAGATGGCAGTAGGGGCAGACAGGAGGTAGAGCTCAGGCAGTCACTAGCCAGCCACTCACCTCCTGCTGTGTGGCCCGGTCCTGGGCCTGGGAGGTGGGGACCCTGATCTAGACTATTTCCTTCTCTTTATACTGGTTCAGAATGGTCACATATTAAGCTGCTGGTAGCACAGGTTTTAGGAACTAGGTCCTTCTCTTTATTCTCTAGTCCAGTGGTCCTTTCTTAACACCACCCCACTGCCTAAGACATATACGTCTCTGGGGAGGCTGCATACTATGGGAAAAGCATGGGCTTTCATGCTAGAAAGATGGTTTGGATCCCAGCCCCAAACATTTATTTACTTGCAGAGTTGTGAAGCAGATCCCTTTACCTCTTACAAACGTCAGTTTCTATACCAATAAAACAAGAATAATATAGCTCAGCTGCTATGTCATTTCCTCGGGCTTCTCTCCAATCTAAATTAGATCCTTGATATATTTCTTCTCATAGGACTCATCACCAATACATTTGCCCAACTGGGGTGTAAGCTCCATAAGAGGAAGGGGCTGTGTGTGTTTTCTTACCACTTTGGCTCCAGTACCTAGTTTCTGCCATATACAAAACTGCTGAACCATATACAAAACACAATGTACCACGATTATCATGAAGATGGAAAATAATTTGTGCTGGGTGCCTAGCATGGGGGTAGCACAGAGTAGGTGCTCAGAAAATGACAGTTATGATCACGTATCAAGTAAACAACCCCCCTCCCATTTCTAATTAAAGCAGCATCTGCCTCTATACAAGGCTGCCTAGAGCCTGTGAACTCCGCCTGCTGCTTGGTGTCCCAACACCTATTTCCCTAGCTTCTGCCTTGAAATTGGCTTTTTAACCCCAAACTGCTAGAAATACATGAAGTTGTTACTAATCACCTGGGGAAAGAATACACAGCTACTGACTGCTAAGCCTGCAAGTAGCTGTATACTCCCTTCTCTGCTCACCTCTTGACAGAAAGAATGTAGAACAGAGGTGGAGTACGACAGTGCTGTGAACTCTAGACTGACTAGCACGGTCACCTAGCAGTTCTATAAGGCCACGGCACTTAACGAAGAAGGCTTGGTACTTGGCTGACAAATGCAGAGACATGTCTCCCAAAGCGCTGGGGACTTGGGATTGTCCCAAGAAGGGGGGCATCTGCTGCTCTGCCTGACCAGCACGCATCCTTGCTTCACTTTTCCTTTGGGAAAGCAACCCTCTCTAACTCAGTTCACATGGTTTCACAGGACTAATTCCACATTTAGGTCTAGGGATAGGCATGTGACCTAGCTCTGGCCAATCAGGGCATCCCAACACCACTGGCCAAAGTGACTATTCCAACAATAGGAAAGTGAGCCAGGTTAGTCCAATGGGAAACAATTCCAGGACTTTAGGTGGAAGCAGCAGGAAAGAGAAGCTCCCTTTCCACTACATTTACTAAGCCAAGAAGACACATACATGTCACAGGCCAGTGCCACTCTGCCTCTTCCAGTAGAATGCCTGTCTGGGAATGAAGGCACCACAGAAACCAAAAGTTGGTAACATATTTTGATGCTGGATGTGGCCATGTCTGAACTGCCCAGCCAAGCAAACGAAATATTTCCCTGTGGGACATAAAGTAGTTTGTAATGGGTTCTCTGTCACTTACAACGGAAAGAACTCTCACTATGACCGCAGAGCAATGCCAGAATACACGGATCAAGTACAGTGGGCAGAGCTGCTAAGAGGGAGCCTGAATTTCAATTCTGACCCTTCCCCATAGGAGAAACAGCCAAAGGGTTCTTACTTAGTCTGCTTGTTGACCACAATCACAGAACAATCAACGGGCCTCTCAGCATCAAAGCGTCTCTGAATTTCTTCAAAATATTGACGATAAAGCTCTTCTCTACGCCGTTCTTCACGTTTCAAACGCTCTGCAAGACACCATCAGGGAAAACTGAAACATGGATGGTGCATTCTACAAACATAAGTCACAGGCCTTACTTTGAGTCCTGAACTACACACAGGCAAAGGTCATATAACTGTCTCTCTCTGTATTAATCCTATAGACTATCTCCTAAAGATAACCATTATCTTTAGTATTATTCTCTGCTATTATAAATTCACTGAAATGGAATAGCTGGGTTAAAGGACAGTCCTTCTAATGCTCCATCTGAAATATACTGCCACTGTGGACGCTAGACGGGCTCTTACTAATTTGTTCCTCCCCAGAAGGAACTAGGTGAATCATCTAGTGCTGTTTCTCCACATCTCAGTCAGCACTGGGTTTTCCCATTTTAAAAAATTCCCATCAACCTGACAGGTAAAAGATGGTACAGTTCATTATTATTGTAATTTGCATTTTTGGGACAATTATTTAAGACCCTTTACTAACAGGTACTTGTAATTTCCTATTTTTGGGGGGGTAAAAATTGGATAGTCGAGTTTAATTACAAATTAAAAATGAGGTACTTAACTTGACCAGATATAAAGCAATTTAAAAATCTTTAAAGATGTACTGAGAAAACCAGTAAAAAACATGTTTGTCTTAATCAGATAAAGAGATGCTGTTAGGTAAAAATTATAAATAAAATAAACAAAACCCCAAACCCTATGCTGCACAGATAATGCATTTGCTCCATGGGCAAAAAGCGAGCAAATTCTCTAGTGCCAATCTTTTGTTTATTTCTTATTGCTGGAATTTCACATTTATTTCTTCTTGTTAGATGACTAAACCAGATGATTCTAATTTGCATTTAAAAATTTTTCATGAAGAATGCTCTCTACATATCAAGAGGCTATTTGTATTTCTTCTTTTTGTGAATTGCTGAGTCACTAGCCCCTTTTCAGTGGGTTAATACTTTCCTCTTTCTTCTGTAAAGTATTCTGCCAGTAATAGGAATAAACTTTTTCTGCTACTTTACCTTTTGCACGAGACTGACTTTCTGGGCCTGGAGGGCCTCGTCCATCAAAGCTATCTCTGTAGCGGTCGAAGTAAGAGTCATCCTTTCTCCTGCCATAGTCATCCATTCGCAGGTATCGGTCATAGGAGCTTTCTCTCCTGTAAAGTTAAAGAAATATGCACAAAATTAAAACTGTCCTATCCTGCAAAAACTCAGATACAGAGATTTCTTCATGGCCCAGTCCCCTGTGAAGTAGTAAGTACAGTAAGGCAAATGGCTTTGGGATTAGACAAAGTTTGTGTACAGGCATACCTTGAAAATATTGCAGGTTCGGTTCCAGACCACTGCAATAAAGCAAGTATAGCAATAGTTAAGTCATAACCTTTTTGCTGGTGGAGGGTCTTGCCTTCATTTTGTGCAGTGCAATAAAACGAGGTATGCCTGTATCTGAGACTCACTGCTTATCAGCTCTGCGGCTGTGAATGAGTTAATTTGCCTTGCAAAATGACTGGCTGTACAGAAAGTTCTCAGTATAGTCCCTGGCACAAAGCAAACACAAAGTAACTGGTAGTAATTACGGATGTTAGTTTTGAGGAACCATTCCATGCTCCACCTTCTGCCATCCCTTTCCCTGTGCTTTTCACAATTCTGCAGTAAAAAAATATGTATGTATGTGTATAGGTATGTATATATGTGTGCATATACACATGTATACACACCCTCACGCCCAGTGGTTTTCCAATACCTGAACAGAAACTCTGCACGCATTAAGTAACTCTTCATGCCCCTTCCTTTAACCTCTATCTACTTTGTTTCTGTGAATTGCCTTTTCTAGATATTTCATAAAAATGGAATTACATTTGTCTTCTGTCTGTCTTATTTCACTTAGCATGATGTTGTAGCAGATATCAGCATTACACTCCTTTTTATGGCCGAACACTGCTCTGTTGCATGGATTTATCATCTTTGCGTCCCTCTACCAACGGACTTTGGGTGTGTCTGCCTCTGGCTGTGAGCAGTGCTGCTGTGTACCTTCACATCCACATGCCCCAGTCCCTCTTTCCAAATGCTCTGGGTATACTCAGGTCTGGGATTGGTGGGTCACAGTAATTCTACTGTATTTATAACATTTTGAAAAACTGCCAAATTGTTTTCCATAATGGCCACACTATTTTACATTCCTACCAGCAATGTAAAATAGTGTTCCAATTTCTCCACACCTCACTGACATTTGCTATTTTGCTTTCCCTTAAAAAAATTATTATAACCATCCTGGTAGGTATGAAGTGACTCTGATTAGCATTTCCCTGATGACTAAAGATGATGTCAAGCATCTTTTCCCGTATTTATTGGCCATTTGTGTATCTTCCCTGTGCTTTCACACTGCCAAAACAATTTGCACTCCATCTTTTTTCCATTTGTACAATGCTGCCTTCCATAGACCACAGGGAGAGACCCAGGTTCATTAGGTAATATATTTGTGGAGTAGCCTATCTGCCATTTGATAGACACTGAAAATAGAAGGCTGATAAAATCACTGCCTTTCAAGAGCTTTCAGTCAGTTTAGCAGAACACACATAAAAAGACTGTCATAAAAAACAGACAAACCCCCCAAACGAGCAAAATAGCTGTACCTGTACCTGTACATGGGATCTCGGGAGTCTCTCATATCTCTGTATCTGTCATACATGGGGTCTCGGTGATCTCGAAAATCCCTAGAGTCTCTTAGGTCCCGGAAGTCTCTAAGATCCCTCATGTCCCGAGCGTCACGCATACTCCTGCTGTCTCTGTGGTCCCGCATGTCTCTGCTGTCTCTGTGGTCCCGCATGTCTCGGGGATCTCGCATGTCTCTGCCATCCCGGGCATCCCGGCCATTTCTGCCATCCCTGGGCTCTCTCCTTGGACTTCCTGGAATTGGGGATCGATCACGTCTTGTATCTCGACCGTCTCCAAAGCCATACGGATCTCTGTGGGAGGCAGTAAGACGATGCTAAGACAAAGAAATTGAAGACAGCTAACCCCTCAGCTCTTTATTAGAGGACGCCCCCACCCTCCAAGCATTTTTTCCCTAAAACATGGTAACACAACAGTGACAACATGACTAAAATTTTAAGGACAACCACCCATCTGGTGAGCAAATAAAAACTAGTAGGTAGTGCGATCTCAAAAGTGTAGGATAAAGAATAGATGACCACAAACCAGAGGTTTATCAGGCATCAGGGAGTAAGTAATTTGGCATTCCTTATGCATGACCATCTATCATCTCAAACTCAACAGGTTTTCAAGGCAAAAGTGTCTTTCTCCGAGGACCCATTTTTTTCCCACCAGACCTGTTTGAGAAACTTCAAAAGGGGAGAAGTTGTGCGGGACAGAGTAAGGGGCAAGAGTCATGAAGAAGAAATGGCACAATTCATACAAAGTGATGATAATCGAAGAAGTGGTCCTTGTAGTGCAGAAAACTTCACTTAAAATCTCTAGCAGGATAATCAAATTAAGGGAAAAAGACTACAGCATGGTACTGTGAGTACAGTGTAAGAACACTCAAGTCTGTCTTCTCAATGTAGTTACTGGATAGTGGTCTCTCAATTTAAGGTTTATAAAGAAATCTAGTTCTGTTTTTTTTTTTTTTGCCGAGGTTTTTTTTTGTTTGTTTGTTTTTTAAACAGTGTTTGAAGTCACAGATGATTGGCCTGCTCTGACTCAATATTCTCCATGAGACATTCCACTCCACTAGAAACTTAACCTCAACAAATCTAAAATTAAACTTCTTATTTAACTGACCTACCTAGTCCCATTCCTTACATTTTCACTTGGGCCAAAAATCATCTTCCCAGTTACCAAGGTTTGAATTCTTGAAAGTTAATTTTGATTCTTTCTTCCCTATCTCAACTGGGTCACTTGAATCTTTTCGTTTTTTCTTTTCACTGGATTTGTAAGTTCAATTCTAACCCTTATATTGGCACCAACAAGTTTCCAAAAATCAGAACAAAACAAAAAACCTTCCAGATCTCGATTCATTCAACACATAAAGACCCAAATTACTACCTGTTACCAATCACAGGGTGACTATCGAATTTCTGAGCATCTCCCCAACAAATCTGTCCTCTTTCCAACTATTACCTCTCCTCCCTTTCTTGAACTTCCTCAGTTTTATTTAAGCTGTTCTTATGACCTAACTCACGTGACACAGCTATTTCAATATTTTTGTTCACATGGTTTTTCAACCTGGAATATTTTTCCTGTATTAATCCTAGTAGTACCCAATCCTCACAAGCAAGTTCATGCTCCATGTCTTCCAAGAAATTGTCACTGATCTTCTCCTCAACTCAGAGCACAAACTATTAGTATTACTCATCTTGATCTGATATTTACCTTTTTACAACAATGTCTTCTCGTTAGACCCACATTAAGTATGACCTACTCCATGAAACTTGCCCTGAATTCTTGATCTTCCCCAACAAGCATGCTTCTCCTGTAGTCCTGTGCACCTCAATAAATGCTACATCCATCTGCTCAGTTACTCAAGCTTGGAAAACTGGATGCCATTCACTATTCCAATCACATTTCCAAGTTTCACTCATTCCTTCTCTGAAATTGCTCTCCACCCTGCCCACATTTCTCTATGTTCACTGGTGCCACTGAAGGTGAACCCACAATTGTCTCTCCTTACAACCAAAGCAAAGGCCTTCCAGTTTGCCCACGTCTTCTCTTGCCCCTTCTCTAGTCTTTCTCCAGATTACTCTAGTGATCTTTTAAGCATGAAAACCGTTCACGATTCCTCATAGTATTTAGACTTCAATCCAAAGTCTCTAGGGCTAATAAGATCCTCCATAATCTTGGCTCCTGTCCTCTCACCTTCTCCCAAGTTTACCATTCTCTTGCCATACTAGCAGCCAAGATAGTATCTCTTATTCCCTCAATTTGATAGTTTAAAGGTTTCTCTTCTGCCCCTAAATCCTGGCCACATCCTCTCATAGCATTTCGTTTTCACTTGTCAGTGTGGTCTACTGAACTGCAAGTCCACAAGGGCAAGGACTATCAGTGACTCTCCACTATAAACTCCACTCTCTCTGGCACGTAGATAGCCCCAGAACGTGTTAAATAAGTCTTGCTCTGGCAAACATTTCTATTACTGCACTCATCACACTGTTCTGTGATTATCTGTTTACATGGCCTCCCTACTAAACAGTAGGAGGCTATGTATCCTTAGACACAGCATGGACTTCAGGAAATGTTTTAATAAACTGCTCACTAAACTGTAAGCCTCTCAAGAGCAAGAACTGTGCTTTGCTGACACTTTGTCACTACCACAGTCACACACATCAGGCATTCATCACGGTGCCATCAGCTCGGCAGAAAACCTCAATTTCACTTCATCTACAGAGCATGGAAAAACAATTTAAATGACAATTTTGCATCTATGAAAAGTCCTTGTCATATATTTTAAGACTCGAAAGAACTCCTGATTTGTGGGAGGAAGCATCTGGTGAGACCAGAGGATTGAAATGAGGACAGCCAAACATTTTTCCTATTAGAATGAAGTAGAGACTAACCAAGATTTTTACCTCAGTTTTCCTTATGTCATATAACCCTCCTAAACATGTTTAACATCTGATACAGTGAGTAATATGGGCAAACATTCAGAATCCAGTGGGAAGGGACAACTGTATTTTTGGATTAATGATCAGCAGATAAAACTGCCTTGGGGAGCAGTTAGAAGTAGTCATTAGAGGTGGAATCAGATTTCAAGTGTTCTTGGCAATCAGGGCTGAAAGAGATCAGGAGCCTGACAGACCACAGACCACACACAAAGCTTCGGGCGGGTGGAGACGGGCTGGGGATGCAGGAAGAACACCACATCACAGTGCATTATTCACAGCCTTAGGGGAGTTATAAATGCCATGTCTGGTTCTCATTCTTGTGAATCCACTGAAATACTTACGTACCTGTCAGAGTCCATCCCTGGCGGCTGACCGTAACCCTAAATTCCCAAAGCCTGGGTTCACACTTCCAGTTTGAGAAGGCAAGTACCTCCCTTCCCTCAATGAGTATGAAGTCCATGTGCAACACAACTACTAATTCCCCCTCGAATGCTCTCTGGGCACAAATGCAGAAGAGATGATATTCACAAGGGGGAAAAAAACCAAAGGAGGGTGGAAGTAGGGATAGAGAAGATAATATTTCTCTAAAGTGAAAAGGCAAAGCTGTTTTCCTTTCTCCAAAAGATGAGCAATATGACAGACTGCTGTTTCTCAGAAGACAAAAACAAAACAAAAAACATTTTAGAGTCACTTTAGGACCCAAACAAACAACTCCCCCAGGACAAAAGTGCTCCAAGGGCTCCTGCTGCTGGCCCCAACATCTTTCTCAGAGCAAGTACTAGTGACCAAAAGGGGGGTAGAGTATGCAGGATTCGGAGTGTCGCGGGGAATCCTGCTGAATGAGATGCTCGACCTCAGATAACGAGGGGGTTGGAAGTAAATGTCTGGAGCATATTAAGAGTCAAGATACCATCCCATAGCACCAGAGGTGTGTTACTGGAGACCAAATGCAGTACATCCTCAGGTACCAGGTCACTAGAGGCTAAAACAAAACTGGCAAGTGGTTAAATCAGTTTCAGCACTGGAGTCCACAAACTGAAGGCAGGTGACAACCACTAAAATTCTGTTACGTATTCCTCCTCTACACACTCAGCAGGGGAGGAATAGCCAAATGCTCTTTGCCTTGAGAGAAATAAAGCCGTCATCTGGAAACATCTGAGAGGTATGGGAGGATGGGCGAAAGCAAAGCCTTGCATGGCTCAGATGCAAGTGATGTGCTTCTGGTGGAACGGCTCTTCTTTTGGGGAATTAAGGGATGGTACAGAATACTACTCGTTTGACAGCCTACAGGGTGAGAATCGGTAGATGATCATTTTGGAGACTGCGAGGGACCTGAGCTGTGTTTGGGCAGAGGCTGAAACCTTAAGCCCAGGATGGTGTTCTTCGGCCTTGGCTGTACAGCGAGGTCAGGGAGGAAGGCACCAGTCTTTTTTTTGTCAACATCTTTTTGTCCACTGTAATGTTTCCTTGGGAGGTCCGGCCTTTTCTTCCTCCTGAAAAAAATCCTCCATCAGCTCTTTGCACTTCTGTTCTGGCACAGATACTGTCCACAGACACAATTATCTGAATGGCTGGCTGCTGTGTGATGCTGATTCCCCACCACGACGGCTCCGTGCTACTGTCAGAACCGGAGACAACAGACTTGTGCAATTTTTGCCATTGGGTGCACACAGGGTATATGTATGGGGTGCAATGAGATATCACCTCACAGACCCAAGATTTTAAGTGTCCTGTTTCCTCCTAGGAAGCACACTTATGATTTTCTCAAGCACAAATATGACTTTTCTGTTGGCAGAGATGGCACTTGCTGAGAACTGACGGCTCTTCTTAAATGTTAGTGCAGAGGTAATCACAGCCTGGAATCTTTAATTGTGAGGCCCACCTAGAGCGAGGGCTGTCTCACGCCCAAGGAGCAAGCAGTTATCAAAGGAATGAACACAGCAGACAGGCAGAAATCATCTTCAGGCCACATAAGAAACTTGTCTATGGCTAGGTTGCTTCTGATGAACTTAGTCCTTGATGACCTTCACTGAGGAGGGACCAGGCCTAAAATCCTTAATAAAAATACAGGGAAAACTTTCTGCAGAGCTTTTGATGTAGATGAATTAGTTCTATTTGCTTCAAGTTCTATGGGAAAGATGAAGAAGTCTCATTTCTGCCACTTCTGTGTAGGGGTATGCTTTAAGACCTGGATCATCAAGGTGTTGAGCTCCAGATGGAAACTGAGAACATCTGAGGTATAATCAGAATCACCATCCAGTCTTTGAAGAAGGCTTAATGCCCGGTACCAATGCCAGACAACCTGCATGGTGAAGGAGGCAAATGAAAGTGGTCCAGTGGTTAAAGGATGAGAATTCAGGCTGAAATCTGATCCGCAGCAGGGATCTCTGAGCAAAGTTCTGTGCAGACTGGGCCCGTGTTGTTGGATTCACACACTGACAGCTGGAGTCGCTAGGGAGGCACATTACTGCACAGAGAGCAATGCCAGCAGAATGGTGGCTCACAGAGACACTGGAAGAGGTGACGATCCTGTGAAAACTCCCAAAGATACCTAAGTGTTTTGACACTCAAAGTCTAGAAAAATAAAGTGTTACAAAGGTCTTGCGAGCATGCTTTAAACAATTTAAAAGTACCAGCACCGAACACATGAAGGTACAATTTAAGAGGGGTATTTGTCACGAGTGCAGTGATCTCCCCCCACCCCCCGAACCCGTGAACAATGCATTTCCCATGGCGGGGGGCGCAGAAAACAACTTAGAATTGTCAAATGAAGGCAGTCTGGTTGTTGTCAACACACTGGCACTGATAGCCAGTGCTCACCCTCGGAAAAGTGATCAGCCCCTTCCAGGCTAACCGTTTCCCCATCCTGCCTACTAACCGAATTTTATTTCTGTCCTATTGGTATGTCTTAAGAGGTAATACATGATCAGGGCAATGACCAAAATGCTAATGTTCTATTTTAAATACAATGTTTATAGTTTATCTGGTGTTAGGATTTTAAAATGTTTATTTTTAAAAACTAGGAGTCTTTGCTCAGGTTTTAGATGGAGCTCAGAACTGATTTTATAAATGTGAACATCCCTCTTCCCTGGACCTTATTAAACGTGGCTGTATAAAACTTTAGCATGTTAGAGAACATGGTGCAGGATCCAGTTTGGGATGTAATCACCAAGGGAAACACTGATTCCTAATGGAACTGGAATGAGCACAGCTGGCCCTCCCACTGACTGTAACTAAAGCAGGAAGCCACTGCCCCGTCCACATCCAAAACAACTTCATTTTAAAAGGTACATAAAAGTGACATATATATATTTTTATATCTGGTAAGAAGAACACTTTAAAAGGCTCCCTACAATGTTGTCTACATGTATTTTTTAGGAGGGGGCATTGTTTTTTTTTTTTTAAAAGGCATAAAGCTATTTCTTCCACTACAGATGAAACTATGGAGCTGCACGTTAGCTTGGTATAAAATTAATCTTTTTAATTTAATGTCCTGGCAATGGCTATACTGGATTCCAACCAGGGGAACTGTTTATTTCCCCTAACATTGCCAATGTTTGCTGAAAGCTACAATCAGTTGGAAATGTGAAAAGCATTTGGTTAAGTGTCATTAATAGAATGACATAAAATATTCTTCTCAATTCATAGTACAGAAATTATTCTACGTTCTGCAACGTGCCCCCTGCCCTGCATCTGTCTTCAGAAGCACACAGACAACACTATCTAGAGATGATAAACATCATGGGGACACCAGAGTGGGGAAAGGATTTTACTAGTGGTGTCAGCTGTCTTTACATTTACCAATTCCATACTCCTTCTGGTTAGCTACCTAGTTCGCAATACACACATTAGAGCTCTTTGGAGATCGGATACACACTACATCTCCTTTTGAGCTATTTGGCAACCACAGTTTCCAAAGGGAGTCCCACAGTTCTGACCATCACATGCAAATTCTTAGCCATGTGCACCCCATGTTTACTGGGGCAATGAGATGCAACACAGCTGGGACTGCCCCAAATCTGCAGCACGGTTAGATGCAGCATTAACAGAAGCAGATATTATATGGAACTGTTGAAGTTCTGCAAGGTTTGTTTATGCTCTTCAGGATACTCATACATACTCACAATCAATTAACAATGTACCTACCTAATAAGCTACAGGTATTCCTTACGGTGACAGACAGAACAGAGCGAATACCAATGTACATGCCCACTTCTGCAGTGAGACCAGGGCATCTACCTGACAGCTACCATCGTGGTAACACTCCTCTGCCCAGGGGGAGTGCTCAGAGAATCCAACTGAAATTGGGAGCATTACTTTGCCCCTAGGGTCTGCGTGAACTCTGTAGCAGACATGTGTACTCTATTCCTGGTAGCTTAGAAAATTCACTCTTCATATCCAAGTGGGGACATATAAACCAAATACATAGCAGCCATTCTTTCCTACAAGTAGGTAACAAAATAAGGGTTTCTGTCCCCAAACAGGGTAGTGTATATTATATGTATGTGCTCAGTTGGGTATATCTGCAGGTGACCTGTGGAGCTACGAGTACAGAATAAGATTCACTGTACTACGCAGCATTCAGTTCACTGTAGAATATATAGTTTACTGTGGTAGGTAGTTTTGGAATGTAGTTTATTGTGAAAATGGGCATTTCTACTTAGGGACAAAGGCAAAATGCACATTAAGTATCCACTTGGGCCATGAAAAGACACCAGACACGAAACATATTGCATCTGCCTGCAATCCACACAAAACTGCACATACTGCACCCACCAGCTCGCTATTATGGGGCCAGCCACTCTGGACACAATACACACATTTTGGCGTATATGGAAACATCAGTAAGGCTCTTCTTTGTGAGAAGGGGCCAATTTAATGAGTATCTCCAGGGTACACATCAGGACTATCTCTTCTGTATACGCTGTAAGAAACACTAATATCAGGGGAAATGCCTTTTATTTCCAGGAAAGCTAAGAAAAGGGAGACTTCTGAGAGATGAAGTGTTCTGCCCTCTTTCTTTCCCCTCGGCAGGCAACCCGGGCATGCGAGCAAACAGGGAGCAGCAGCGATCTCTCGGGCAGCGCCTTCCGTACACCTGGGTTGGCATCTGGACCAGCAGCCATTTGGAATGAAGTGTCGAATCTTTGCTGCCCACTGCAGTGCAGCACGGCACACACCAGTGACCCAGGGGCACTCCTGCGGTGGAGGCTCCCACTGATATGTGAGCTGGGGACAGAGGTTTATCCTCTTCCAATTGCCTGCAACTCATGTTGCAAGCTGAACTTGCTGGGTTTGCCACCGAAAACACAAAGCTTCCTCTGCATCTCCTGATGCACGTTTAAATAAAGCAGCAGAGCCCTTCACACATGGTTCACGTTCTTATTGTTTGCTTGAGCGTTTCTGATTGTTGGGGGGGAAGAAGAGACCCTTGTTGTATGAAGTTGGGCTTAACTCCCCAGAGCCCAACACTCCCAAGGTAACTCACTGCTTCGGGTACTTTACCTTCGTGTGGGGCTGGGTCTTGATGGAGCCGTATTCATATTTCTTCTTTCCGCTGCCTTATTAATATCTGAAAAGAATAATCAACCCATCTGTTCAATGCTACGGAATAAAAACAAGATCATCAGCACATTTCAAATGAAAGCAACAACAAAAGAACTACAATGACAACCAGATGGTGTAAGAAAATCCATTCAGCAGACACACTGTCACTTGGGCAGTTTTTATTAAGTTATGGTAGTACACTGTCGTGGCTAGGTAAGGAATGTCCTCAATTTTCTAGTTAACACATGATTTGTGCGCAACTGATTATGTCAACGCCTTAACACTTTGTCAAGCCCTGAAACTAACACCTGCCCCTTTCTCCAAAAGGGTAAAAATTCTTTTTTGAGGGGAGGAGTGGCAGAAAAATAGTAAGAGGGTTATGGAAAAAAAAAGAAGAAAGGCAAATGATTCCATTTTATGTTACAAAGAAGTAAGATCTGGACTCCATTGTCTCGAAACTTCCAAATCTCCACGAAACAGGCCCTCCATTTAGTGTGCCTTGTGTTGTACTCCACTGGCCAGACTTCCAGAATGAGATGTGGAGAAGAAATTGATTAATTTTTTTTCTGAACAAAGTATATGACATGCTAACATCTATGGCCCTCAGAGGCAAGTTCCTGAGAATAAGAACTGGCATTTGGTACAGCAGGGTCAGTACTGAAGCACTCCTCACAAGAAGTCTTCACCGAGGAGCCTGGCATACACGACCAGGGAAGGGAGAGAATCACGCAAACTGACAGAAAAGCTAATTTTTGTAGTTAAAAAGTCTAGTCGCTAAAAACAAAACAAACCAGCTTTGTAAAAACTGAACCATGTACAAATAAGAATTCATGAAGTGTCTAAAGAAATATACCAATCTATGTTCAAAAGATAACACCCGACGATTTTAGATGATTTAAAGATATATATATGCCTTAACAACTTCATACTGTAGTTGAGAGATAAAACTGCTTCCTGCTGCAATGCAGTTTTGTTGCCCTTATTCCATATCAAGAATTGATATTGTATCTAATGACATTAAGCAGTATTAAGCACTCACATGAGTGGCTTAAAAATTGTAATTATGTATTAAAAAATTTCAACCAGAGTCCCATCACAGGAAAGACCAGAGAAACGACAACAACAACAAAGACCACAAAGGGTCTGGTATAGACCTCACCCTGCTACGGTGACAACTTTTGAATTCTGTTCAAGTCAGAATAATCTTCAATTCCGTTTTAAGTCACAAGTATCTTTCAATAATGCCTAGGGGAAGAGTGGCTTTTGACAGAACTGAAGGTATCATAAATCTAAATAGCCAGAGAAGCATATTCTAAATTGGCCAGTAATATCTAACCATGGCCTTGGTACTGCACATGGCACTTTTGCAATTTAAATGACATACAATACATGATAACCCTACTTCTTTTATATATAACTGTGAAGAATATCAGCTCGGCTATAGAAGGGTCTACTGACCTAGTGTGCTCACGTACTTTGTACTGCTTTGTAATATAGGGTGACTACGATTCAGAGAGAAATGTGATGTCTTTGATTACTTAAGTAATTTTCAAAGTATCTCTGGAATACACTGGGGTGATAGTGGTGTGAAGATTTCTTTTAAATAAGTACCATATTTTCCAGCAGAGTTCCAAATATTATTAAATGGTCTTGTGAATAAGGAACTTCATCTAACTTCTGACTTGACCTGGCTGACTTTTAGGTGAGAATACAGAACATGGGGCATTACTTTAATTGCAAAGTCTCTATAAATGCTATATACTTTGCCCTTATCATATGAAAAGGACTGTTATGCTGTGTAATTATAACCCATGTAAATGCCTACGCATAGAACCAGGGAGGCCAAAGTCGTCATACGTGATATACCTTTAGGGCAAAGGTGGTTCCAGTTAGAATGAAGGAGGTAAATATTTTATTTTGAAGTTGGGGAAATTATCTGTCACATTATTTAAAATTTAAGATGATCTCTGTAAACCATTCTGATTATAATTTGCCTCTTAACTATCTATTTTCACTGAGTAGTCCAGAGTGGTTATACTTTGATGATGTGGCTTATGCTTTTTCTGCAAAAAAAGAGCTCTTAGGCCATTTTCCTAAGCTCAGGAGTCAGGAAACTTTTAGTGTGTGTGCCAAGTGTTTGTTCAGTCACCCTACTTAAGGTTCCTTAGGGCTCCCTCTTGGGTGAGATATGGGGAAAACGAGACATGGAAATTTTTGGTAATCTCACTGCTCAAGGAGGGTTGCTCAGGTTAGCATGGGGTAGCAGGGGTTTCCAGTGAGAGTTATGAAAACGGTCAACACCATCAATCCCCACACATGAAAACCCTAACATATGTACACAGAACTTCAGGAAAACCTGTGAGTACAGAAATACAGAAAGAATAGAGAAGCTACTGAAAGTACAAATGACTCCAGGGAACGGATCACAGTACAGCAGAGATTTAGAGTCAAGAACGAACCTTACCCCAACTCAATTTTTTGTCATACAATTTGAAAACTCATCAGTTGGCGGTTGGAAGCTCATTTGAACAAGTTTTCTCTTTGAGAATGCAAATATTGGAACTGGTAAAGGGGACTTTTGTGTTAATATAGTTGAGTAAGATTATTTTCCCCCCAGATCCTTACAGAGATATAAGCTACACCAAAGAAATAAATCATGTTAATGTGAAGGAGAAGGGAAAAAGACAATTTGGGGATCTTTCTGAACGTTAGGTGGGGAACCATACTGGCAATGAGGGAATCTCCAAGGAGAGGTAGAACGCCTCCTCCTCATGAAAAAAGGGAAGAAATGGTGCTTCTCCCTTCTCCTGATATATTTTACCGCAGCCAAATACCCTTAAGACCAAAAGTCAGTCCCTTGTATTTAGTATCTCTTCCACTTCAGCTTAGTTATTAGGACTTCTATACTTTGTTAATTACATCAGCAATGTGGATGCCATTTAAAATCACCATCACCACAAGGTGTTTAACCTTGGCCTGAACATCTATAATTTCTAAGTGGTTTTCTGAAAACAGTTAAAGCACTACTCAAAAAAGAATTTTTAGACAAGAAAAACAGTACCAACCAAAGGGATTCATTACATAAAAGGTAAAGAAACAAAATAATTTAGAAAACATGTTACACAGGAAGTAGCAGAACTTCTTAAAGCACAAAAGAATGGCGTAAAAACTCCCAAAGAAAGACCCAACGCCTACCTACGGTTTTGTTTTAGACTGCTATGCCAGACGAGGTTCTCAGAATGGTCCTTGGATAGTATTATAAAGACCACAGATATGCACGTTTCATTCATGGTACCAAGGACTGCTTTGCTCCATCTATTTTTTAATATTGCCATCATAAAAGAACTCTTTTTACCTTAAAACCAATTTTTATACTCTCGGCTATCACAATGGGAAACAACGTGAACTACTTTGAACAAGTGCAGTATACACCCCAGCACTTAGTGACAGCACCACCACTGGCTGCTGAACAAACCCAGAAGCCTCTACAACTTCAGCAAGTGATTACAAATGAAAGAAAACTCTCCAACAGGCTTGGCTGAAAACCAACTAACAATTAGGCATTACTAAATTGGAAATATGTGATGATAAAGATAATGCCACTTGGAAAACCACACTGATAAGACAGTGGATATTATATATTAAACTCCTAAAATTGGGACTGGAAAGAACAGAACTTCTCACTTAAACCTATATTTATGAAAATGGTACAGTATACCTTTGAAGGTATACTGTAACATCAGGGATGTTATAATGAGTTACATTGTAACCACTGGGAGTAACAGAATGCTCTGCTTTAACCATTAATTAATTAAGTCCACTTTGAAAACTACACTTTCCCTATTTGATTATCTCTTTTATTCTCTAATTAAAATAATTATTATGTCTTCAACTGTATCAGAATATTGACCCTGGGAAGAGAAATAGGGAAATGATGGCAACGTATATTTACACAATGTTTACTCTACCCAAGAGCCTCTACTAAGAACATTATGTGCATTATTATCTCATTCAATCCTTTCAACAACTCTTGGAGTTAAGTACTATTCTTTTTTAAATTTAACTTATTTTTTAAGTACTATTCTGATCTCTATTTTGCAAACCAGAAAATCTGAGGTTTAGAGAAATCAAGTGACTAATATGAGGTCACATGAGCAGGAAGCAGGGCTAGGACTCAAACTCAGGTGCATCAGAAGCCAGATGTTACATGTTACTGCCATGTTGCTTCCAGCAGGGAGCAGAAGGACATGGTTTCCATCTCGAAAATTCTTGCTACTATTCCCTGATCAAATGCTGACGGGACCTGGAAAAGGTCCAATGTTTAAGTGACCCAGACACCCAATAGGGTAGGACCTCTTTATTCAACGACCACTTCAATTTCTATCACCTCAAACTACAATGTTTCTGACTTTTGCTACTGACATTCTCTTCACTCCAACTCTTCAGAGGAAAATTCTCTACCAAAATTTAATTTCCTGCCCTTTTTACTTCTTTTGAGGAAAAAACACTTGACTAGGATCAGCAAATATGAGTTCTAGTCCTACTTTTGGTGGGGGGGGGGCAGGGAGAATTTAGTCAAGTCACTCGATTTCTCTGAACCTGATAAAATAGATTCTCAACTTGTGTTAGTTATGTTGAATTAAGGAAAATATCAACTAAGGAAAAACTTACTAAGCTGGATCCACAAAGGTTGAGATAATCTAAAGTAATAAAAAAGTTTGAGTTACAAAAATACTTAAAATACAGGTTTATTTAGAACATGTAAAATTTCAACTATGTAAACTATACAAGTAGAGATCCTTAGAGAACTAAATTAACGAACATGAAAAGAACAGTTTATAATCAGTACACTGAAGGCTCCTATGCCTACTATGTGTCACACACACAGTTCTAAGCCTTAGATAAATGGAAATAAAGAGGCTAAAGTCTCTGTCTTAAACTTTAAGGCTTAAAGGAGTTCACTGTTTAATAAAGGAGAGAAGCACATGCACACAGATTCAGGACAGCATACTGTAAAGTGAGACT